TAAATCTAGGAAAATGGGAAGATGTAAAAATGAAATGGACTGCATAAAGATCAATATCATAGTGAGCTGAAATGCACTGGTATTGGTCATTTTGAATCAGATAATCATATGGGCTACTATACAAGGAATGACAAATTGAAGAGGATTGGTGTCACATTCATCATCAAAAAGAATATTTCAAGATCTACCCTGAAGTACAACACCATCAGGATAAGATAATATTCATATACACCTACAAGGAAGACTAGTTAATATGATTATTATTCAAATTTATGCAGCAACCACTAAGGCCAAAGATGAAGAAATTGAAGATTTTTACCAACTTCTACAGTCAGAAGTTGATCAAATATGCAATCAAAATGCAATGATAATTACTGGTAATTTGAACGTGAAAGTTGGAAACAAATTAGGGTTGGAAGCTGGAAAATATGGCCTTGGTGATAAAAATGACACCAGATATTGAATAATAGAATTTTGCAGGACCAACAACTTCTTCATTGCAAATACCTTTTTCAACAACATAAACAATGAGTATACACATGAACCTCACTGGATGGAATACACAGAAAGGAAATCAACTACATCTGTGGAAAGAGACACTAGAAAAGCTCAATATCACCTGTCAGAACAAGGCCACGGGCCGACTGCAGAACAGACTATCAATTGCTCACATGCAAGTTCAAGTTTAAGCTGAAGAAAATTAGAGTAAGTCCACCAGAGCCAAAATATAACCTTGAGTACATCCCACCTGAATTTAGAAACCATCTCAAGAGTAGATTTGATGCACTGAACACTAATGACTGACGACCAGACGTGTTGTGGAATGACATCAAGGACATCATACATGAAGAAAGTAAAAGGTCATTACAAAGAAAGAAAAGACCAAAATGGATGTCAGAAGAGTCTGAAACTTGCTCTTGAACATAGAGTAGCTAAAGCAAAAGGAAGAAATCATGAAGTAAAACAGCTAAACAAAAGATTTCAAAGCACAGCCCAAGAAGACAAAGTAAAGTATTATAATCAAATGTGCAAAGACCTGGAGTTAGAAAACCAAAAGGGAAGAACACGTTCAGCATTTCTCAAGATAAAAAAACTGAAGAAAAAATTCAAGCATTGAGTTGCAATATTGAAGGATTCTAGGGGCAAAATATTGAACTACGCAGGAAGCATCAAAAGAACATGGAAGGAATAGACAGAGCCACTGTATCAAAAAGAATTGGTTGACGTTCAGTCATTTCAGGAGGTAGCATATGATCAAGAACCAATGGTACTGAAGGAAGAAGTCCAAGCTTCACTGAGGACATCGGTGATAAACAAAGCTCCAGGAATTGACAGAATGTTAATTGGGAGGTTTCAACAAATGGATGCACCTATGTCAAGAAATTTGGAAGACAGCTACCTGGCCAACCAACTGGAAGAGATTCATATTTGTGCACATTCCAAAGAAAGGTAATCTAATAGAATGCAGAAGTTATGGAACAATATCATTAATATCACACACAAGCAAAATTTTGCTGACGATCATTCAAAAGCAGTTGCAGCAGTACATCGACAGGGAACTGCCAGAAGTTCAAGCCAGATTCAGATAAAGATGTGGAACGAGGGCTATCACTGCTAATGTCAGATGAATCTTAGCTGAAAGCAGAGAATACCAGAAAGATATTTACCTACGTTTTATTAACTATGCAAAGGCATTTGACTGTATGGATCATAACAAATTATGGATAACATTATGAAGAATGGGAATTCCAGAACACTTAACTGTGCTCATGCAGAACCTCTATATAGACCAAGAGGCAGTCATTCGAATAGAACAAGGGGATACTGAGTGGTTTAAAGTCAAGAAAGGTGTGCTTTAGGGTTGTATCCTTTCACCATACTTATTTAATCTGTATGCTGAGCAAATAATTCAAGAAGCTGGACTATATGAAGAAGAGTATAGCATCAGGATCAGAAGAAGACTCATTAACAACCTGTAATATGCAGATGAAACAAACTTGCTTGATGAAAGTGAAGAGAACTTGAAGCACTTACTGATGAAGATCAAAGACTACAGCTTTCAGTATGGATGGAACCTCAACATAAAGAAAACAAAAATCCTCACAACTTGACCAATAAGCAACATCATGACAAATGGAGAAAATATTGAGGTTTTCAAGGATTTCATTTTACTTGCATCCACAATCAACACCCATAGAAGCATCAGTTGGGACATATGTATGTGAAAGCTGGACAATGAATAGGAAATACCAAAGAAAAATTGATGCCTTTGAATTATGATGTTGGCAAAGAATACTGAATATACCATGGACTGCCAGAAGAAAGAACAAATTTGTCTTGGAAGAAGTACAGCCAGAGTGCTCCTTAGAAGGAAGGGTGGCGAGAGTTGGTCTCACATACTTTGGACATGCTATCAGGAGAGTTCAGTCCCTGGAAAAGGACATCATGCTTGGTAAAGTACAGGGTAAGGAAAAAGAGGAAGATCCTCAATGAGCTCACTGACACACTGACTGCAACAATGGGCTCATGCATGACAGTGATTGTGAGGATGGCGCAGGACTGGGCAGTGTTTAGTTATGTTGTATATGGGGTAGCTATGAATTGGAACTGACTCAACGGCACCTCACAACAAGAACATTTTATTTCACAGGGAGAAATATAGGTAATACTCAATTAACATAATTAATTTTAAAAAGTTATTTAACATGTAAGAAGGTCATAAGTAGGATGAGTAAGGAGCATGGGGAAGTAGTTTGCAATTTACATAGTGTGGTCAGGGTAGACCGCAATTAAAAATTAACTTTAAGGCAAAGACTTGAAGATGAGGGTGTGAGTCATATAAGTATCTGGGGGAATAGAGAACCTGGCAGAGGGAATAGTAAGTACAAAGGCTTCGAGCTGGGAGAATACCTGGAGTGTTTGCAACAATGCAAGGAAATCAGCTTGAGGTTAGTGAGTGTGGAGAAAAGTAGTAGGAGATAGGATGAGCTACATAATTTGCAGGGCCCAGTGCAAAATAGAGCCCTGGTGGCACAGTCATTATGAACTCTGCTGCTAACTAAAATGTCAGCAGTTCAAATCCACAAGCTGCTCCTTGGAAACCCTATGGGGCAGTTCTACTCTGCCCTATAGGGTCTCTATGAGTCGGAATCAACTCAACAGCAACACGAAAAAGTGCAAAATAAAAGTATGTGGCCCTTTGTTAAAAAATTATGAAGACTTTCAAGACAGCGACAGTAAATCATTAAACCATGCATGGGGCCCTCTGAATATGGGTCCCTGTGCAACTGCATAGCTCCCACACTGATGAAGCAGGTTTTGGTAGAAGACAAAGATGTCAGGTCAATGGACCCTTGTAAGAATACTGACTTTTACTTTGAGAGACATGGAGAGTCAGTGGAGGGTTTTAAGAAATCTGACTTACAGAATCTGTGTTGAAAATATTCTAAGAGGCCAGAGTGGAAGTAGGAAATTAGAAAACCTTCACAATAATCCAGTTAAGAGATGATGGTGACTTGATCCAAGGGTAGTGTCCGTGGAGGCAATGAGAAGTTCCAGACTATGGATACATTTTGAGGATGAAACTCACAAGACTGGTGATGGATTTTATGTGGGATGAGGGATAAATTTCAAGAGAGATGAAGAACGACTCCAGGTATTTGGCCTGGGAAACAGAAAAACTGGAGTCACCAATAACTCAGACAAGGAAGTGTGGGAGACAGACGGGTGGTGGTGGAGGGGGAGGATCAGGAGTTCATTTCTCAACAGAAAAATTCAAGATTCCTCTTAGTTAGACATTCTAGTGGAGACAATGAGTTGGCTGTTGGACACATAAGTTTGGTGTTCAGGGTAGTGATCAGGCTGGAGATAAAAATTTGAAAGTCATTAAAAAAAAGCCTTAATTCTTCAGTGCAGCTAAAAGTAAAAATCTAGACCAATCTAGATTCTTTAAATGTTCTAGCGTCATTGACATTCTTTATCTGCCACATGGCTTCTTGGCTAATGACATCTGTGTTGTAATATTTACTTCTTACTCTGTTTCCCTTTATTAAAAAGTGTTTTTTTGTTTGTTTGTTTTTTTGCTCACTTAGCAGCAGGCCTTTGCTGAAACTGAACACCAAGGTTTTTGAAATGTGGGTAAGAAGAAGTGGAAGAAAACTGTTTCTGTACACCACAATTAGTCTTCTATATGAGAAAACTATTTGCTTGTGGCGCAGAATACTTATTTTTAAAATCTCAAGAATGGTCCTCCTGTTACATTAATGTTAAGAAAACATTCATCTATTATATCTATGGTGTCACCATTAATCTAAATGCAGATAACAAACATTCTGGTTTGGGAATGTAAACTAGCAAATTGAGCTGAGGCTGCTTATTATTTTTATTTCTCAGTGGGAAAGGAGAACTGTTGGCCAGGGTTGATTAGGATTAGTAATGGACCATGTCTGGACTTTTCTTGGTACCTGGTGAAAGAGCTGTTTTTTGTTAGTTTTAGAAGTTGCTTGTGGGAAATGTGGAACAGAGGGTGCTGCCTTTACAAAGACAATCCTGGGTACAGACAATCCCATGTGAGGGCCTGGGTGTTAAAGGGAGGCTTGAAATTAGAAAGAGGGCCATTTTTCCTAACTCTGTTCAGGCCAAATCCACAACTCCGGCATGTCTGGGAATGGCCGCTTTGAGAGAATCTGGAGACAGCTCCCTTAGCAGGATCCCCATCAACTCATGAGAGGCACCATCAACAGAGGGGCTTCCCAGGCGCATAAAGACAGTGCCCATCAGCCAGTGGGAGCAGTGCAGGACAGATGAGAATGTGAGGGGCTATGTGGTGACTGCATGTGAAGCACCTTTTTGAGGAGCCCAGAAATGTTTTGGGAATGTTTTTCAGGAGAGGATTGATACCCAGTAATGACGGTGATGGAGGCTCAGAGTTGCTGTAATTCGACTCACTGTAGCTTAGTTTATTGATACGGGACTCCATTTTTACCCCTGGCTTAGTGAAAGCTGAAAATATACATAATATTCTAGTTCCAGCTAGAAACTGAGGTTCAGTGTATTTATCAGCTGATTTCTTTGAAATTAGGATTCCTCCAATCTGGTTTACTGGCTGTGACTAAGTAGCTGTGCCACTTCATTTCTCTAAGCTGAGTGGACTGTATCCAGACTCTTTTCCATCTTCTGCCAGATCTGATTTTCCCTGCCCTCTGGCACAGTGGGAGAGATGGGTGGAAAGAGAATCTTCACAATCCCTTCCTGCAAGTCGTGACAATCAAAAGTATCTCCTGATGTTGCTAAATGTCCCTTTGCAGGGGGATCATCCCTGGTTAAGAACCACTGATGCAGAATCTATTACTTTACAGACTGCAAGGGAAAATTAAGTTAGTATTTATATCTTCAGCAACCATTCTGAAGTCATCAACCAAGGGAAGACAAAAAAAGACTGCCTAAAGGGTGAAGTAAGACATCATATCTCCCCCATATTATTAATTGGCACCAAGTATACTGTCAGCTGATAAAGCATGCAACATACTGGTTATCTCTGTCTGTGTCATATCCACGCCACTCATATATGACACAGTTTACTAATCTACTTCCTTTTGCAGAAATTCAACAGCCTAGAAACAGCGAACATCAAGCGATTTTTGTCCACTCAGGAGGATCTATGTCTCATTAAGCAGGGCAGCAGGCAGGAAGACCACAGAACTGCATTGTAGAATCCTGTTGGTTTTAATCTGCTTACTGATAAGAGTTTGCCTTTGAGCACACTTCTACCCCTGTTACATTTTTCAAACAATTATTTTTCATGTCAGACTTCTTGACAGCTTTATGTTAATTGCTTAGATTTTCATTGCATAGGGGAAAAGCAATGGTTAGAAACTTCCAACAGAATCAGAGTCATAACTAAGTCAGTTATTTTTCTGTATATGTCCATTGAATTCCCATCTCCTGTCTGATGCTTGAGGAAACACTAAAAGTGTACATGCTTCATGTAGATAGAGCATTTCCTATGAGTATAATGAAAATCTCTATAGCAAAAACTATTTTTAAGAATAGATGAATGAGTCACTTATTTCATGCAGTGTTTGACAAAACATAATCCCAATAAGCTAATAGAATTTGATTAGTTCTTTTAGTCCATTATGTTGGCTGTTGATTACTGCTGAACTCTGGTCCTGTTTTGCTGACTTTCTTCCATTGTACACCAAAGACCTCAAAAAGAAGAAAGGAAAATTGGTCAGCTTGATGTTTAAAAATAATTCTGAGACAATGATTCACTTAACACATTTTTTTTTATTGTAGTTTAGATGAAGGCTTATAGAACAAATAGTTTCTCATTAAACAGTTAGTACACATATTGTTTTATGACATTGGTTAACAACCCCACAACATGTCAACACTCTCCTCGACCTTGGGTTCCCTATTACCAGCTTTCCTGTCCTGTCCTGTCTTCTAGTCCTTGCCCCTGGGCTGTTATGCCCTATTAGTCTCATTTTGTTTTATGGGGCTGTCTAATCTTTGGCTGAAGGGTGAACCTCGGGAGTGACCTCATTACTGAGGTAAGGGTGTTGGAGGGGCCATACTCTCAGGGTTTCTCCAGTCTCTGTCAGGCCACTAAGCCTGATCTTTTTTTGTGAGTTAGAATTTTGTTCTACATTTTTCTCCAGCTCTGTCAGGGACCCTCTGTTGTGATCCTTGTCAGAGAAGTCAGTGGTGGTAGCCAGGCACCATCTAGTTGTATTTGACTGAGTCTAGTGGAGGCAATGGTAGTTGTGGTCCATTAGTCCTTTGGACTAATTTTTCCCTTGTATCTTGTTTTCTTCCTTCTCCCTTGCTCCCAAAGGGGTGAGACCAGTGGAGTATCTTAGATGGCCGCTCACAGGCTTTCAAGACGCCAGATGCTATTCACCAAGGTAGATTGTAGAACATTTTCTTTATAAACTATTTTATGCCAATTGAGCTAAATGTTCCCAGAGACCATGGTCTCCACAGCCCTCAGCCCAGCAATTCGGTCCCTCAGGAAGTTTGGATGTTAACACATATTTTTTAACTTCCCTTACTTATTATAATTTTTTCTAGACTTCCCAGACTTTTTAAGAAGTTTTACAGACAAGAGTAGCTAGGGGGTTGCATGTCTAGAAAAACCCAACATAAACAAGGAAAACTTTTTTGTTTATTTGTTTAATTTCCTTCCTGCTGTTTTAATGAGGAACCAAAAAGAAAAGAGGGAAGGCAATCTTCCTCTCCTCACAGGCAGGGTAGATGAGAAAATAGAGCAGCAACGTGAAGTGGATACTTTTACTGTTAGTACAACTTAGATACTGAGAAGAATGGATTCCTGTATATTAACTTCTTCATTCCTTTCAAGGTTTTCAATTTTTTAATTTGAATTTCCTGATGCAGGCAAAAGAATTTGTGAGAAAGATTTTTCTTCTTTAATTAAAAAAAAAAAAGTGTTCAACAGCAGTGATCCGAAGAAGGGGAGAAAAAAGGAAAGAAAACAAGAAAAGCCACAAAGGCCCAGCTGCTCTAAGTTCCTGTGCACTTCTAGTGCCGTTTGTGACGTAGGCGTATTGTATTTTAAATTTACATATTAGAAATGCTCATTTAGAAAGGCAGCTGGTTTTGGCATAATTTGCAGAATAAAATAGCATTCACAGAACTGTTATTCAAAAAAGATAGATACAGAGAGCTGTATTTCTTATTTAAATGAACTTTACCTTAGCTATAACAGGAAAAAGAAAAAAGAAAAAAAGGTGTATTTTATGTTGGGTAACTTCTGATTTAAAATTTTAACTAAGTTTCATAAACAATTATGGGAATCTGAGAAGGTGTGAAACATTAGGCCCTGAGTGGCTGAGAGCTTGGGGTCTCACTGCACAACAGATGGAAGCTGGAAGAGGGAGCCCGGTTTCGCTTTCTGTTACTTCCCTGAGCCCTGAGTCCTGTGATTTTACCTCCAACCACACCTCTAGGATGGGATTTTACAGAACCTCTGTTTGTAGCCTCTATATTATAATTTGGAGCCCTGGTGGCACAGTGGTTAAGAGCTTGGCTGCTAGCCAAAAAGGTGGGCAGCTCAAATCCACCAGCCACTCCTTGGAAACCCTATGGAGCAATTCTGCTGTGTCCTATAAGGTCACTGTAAGTCAGAATCAACTTGATGGCAATGGGTTTGGTTTTGGGGGGTTTTTTTGTTTTGTATTTGTTTTTTAATTATAATTTAAGGAGTCCTAGTAGTGCAGTGGTTAAGGGCTAGGTTGCTCACCCAAAGGTCAGCAGTTCGAGCCCCTGGCAGAAAGATGTGGCAGTCTGCTTTTGTAAAGATAAAACCCACAAAACCAAACCCACTGCCTGTCGAGTAGATTCCAACTATAGGACAAAGTAGAACTGCCCCATAGGGTTTCCAAGGCTGTCGTATTTACCCAAGCAGAATGCCACATCTTTCTCCCACAGAGCAGCTGGTGGGTTAGAACTACCAACCTCGTGGTTAGTAGCCTAGCACTAAACAGCTGCATCACCAGGGCTCCCTCTCTAAAGATTACAGCCTAAACCCTATGGGGCAGTTCTACTCTGTCCTATAGGATCACTAAGAGTGATAATGGACACCATGGTGATGGCTTTATAATATAATTTAGATCCCTGAGGTTACCAAGTTCTTTATTCAGCATGTCCCACAGCAGACCTTCTCTGCCCGAGTGTGTATTTTCTTGTTAGCATCTACAGGCCTCTCCCTGGGCTAAAGCTTCTTTAAAGCCTGAGACTACACATCTCTACCCAGGACCTAATTTAGTGCAATAAAGGATAATTCATTTATTAAAGATACTCATGCCAATGTAAGCTAGGAGCTTACATTTTAATGGTATGGCAATGATTTCTAGCTGCAATAATTTCATAACATTAGACCATCGTATGTCATATACTAGTAGCACTGTTCATAATATTTAGACTGTTCCATAGCAACATATAAAATACAACCTCCAGAGGTCTGTGTTCCTCCAGTTATGCATAAAGAATTGGAGGAATTCCTGAGAAAAGGAAGCGCTTTACACAGCCTTGAGTCTGAAATGTTCCTTTTATGGTAGTAAATGTGGGAACCTGGAGCAGAAACATATCTCAGGACTTTATATTCATAGCTCACTAGAGTTTCTAGAAATGTCACCCTTTGCACTTCTAGTGTTCTGGTTATTTTTTATAAGGCATCAAGAAAATCCTTTTCTTCAATTTTGAAATCACTGTTAAAATTTTATTGCTTTGTAGCTTATCGTTTTTACTTCCCAGAGTAGAAAAACAGATTGTCATCTCAAATGCTTTGTTTCACTGCAGAGTTAAAGTTGGGTTGCTTTTTTTATTTTTTTAACGTGAATAAAAATATTAATGGAGATTACAGAAATGCAGATTTCTTCTAAGACCTGCTTTTTTTCCATATGCTTCTTAAATTCACAATTAAAAAAAATTTATTTTGGCTTGCTTTTGAACCAGACAATAAAAACTTACTTTATTATAATATATTTTTGCATTAATATAGGTCTTCCACAGTACCCAGAACAGAGGTTTAAATAAATAGTGTTGACTACTTCCCTAGTTACTGTTAACAGCATCACTCTCCTCATCTCTCCTTCATCTTCTTCTTCGTCAACTTTGTGTATATATCACTGTCTTAGTAAAGGTTCTCTAGAGAAACAGAACAGAATATATATATATACATACAGAGAGAGAGAAAAATCGATTTATTTTTGAAAATTAAAAATTGGCCCACAAGATTGTGGGATTGGCAGGTCCAGAATCTGCAGGTTAGTAGACAAGCTGGAAATTCCAGCAGTTGTGTGTCCCAAAATCTGTAGGAGGTGACAAGTAGATATTCTATAAGTCTTATATCTCAAAATTGGAAGTTCCAGCAGTGGGGGAACAAGAGGAATTCTGGCAAGATGTCTATTTATAGTCTGGAAACAGAATACTTCCTTGAGGAACCTCCCTCTTTGCTCTTAAGACCTACAATTGATTGGATGAGGCCCACCCACATTATGAAAGGCAATCAGCTTTATTTAAGGCCAAATGATATAATCACATGTAAATACTTCAAAACAACATCTAGACTACCTTTTGACCAAACACTGGGCACCACAGCCTAGACAAGTTAACACATAAAATTAACCATCACAGTCACTATTGTCTCTCTATATTTTACTCAGAATTATTTATAGGCACTCCTTTTATCCAGAATGTTATCTCCTCACACAGGATTATCATAACAATCTGCTCCTTTACCTCTTTTAAAACATTTCATGGAACACTTTATAAAACACTCATACCACCAACAAAGACGCAGCTGGAGCAGAGCACATCCTTTGGACCCGAGGTTCCCGCACAGAGAAGCTCCTAGTCTGGGGGAAGACTGATGATGACGAGGACCTTCCTCCAGAGCCAACAGAGAGAGATAAAGCCTTCCCCTGGAGTTGATGCCCTGAATTTGGACATCTAGCCTACTAGACTGTGAGAAAATAAATTTCTCGTTGTGAAAGTCATCCACTTGTTGTATTTCTTTTAGAGCAGCACTAGATGACCAAGGCAGAATTTGGTACCGAGAGAGTGGGGTGCTGCTCCAACAGATGTGGAAATGTGGAAGCGGTTTTAAAACTGTGAATGAGTAGAGGTGCGGCAGTGACAGAGGACCAGTAGCAGCAGAGAACCTGCAGCAGCAGAGAAAGGGCAGTGGCAGAGAACCAACAGCAGCAGGACCAGGAGACCAGTGCGAGACGGCGCTGGAGCCGACACACGGAGCGAGAGAGCTGACTGCCTGTGCGCAAGGGGCTTTCTGGTGGAGTGGGGTGCCTCCAGGCACTTACTTGTGGAGCTACAGAGCTTTGGAACACTTGCCCCAGCAGGGCAGATGTGGGCGTGAGGCCCAAGGAGCCGAGAGGGCAAGAAACCAGAAAACAAGTTGAAGAGACAAGGGACACAAGAAGCTGAGCTGCCTCGGTCTCAAAAGGAGTCCTGGTGGCTCAGTGTTTGAAAGCTTGGCTGCTAACCAAAAATTCAAAGTTGGAATCCACCAAGCCACTCCTTGGAAACTCTATGGGGCAGTTCTACTCTGTCTTATAGGGTCGCTATGAGCCAGAATTGGCTCAACAGCAACAGGTTTTTATCATCTGTGACTCAATAATTTCTCCTTCACTAGAGAGTGATTGCACTTCCAGTCTGGAAAGACAATG